TGCAGCAACTTGGATGGAGCTGGAAAAGATCATGCTTAGTGAGATAAGCCAGAAAGAGAAAGAAAAATACTGGATGGTTTTGCTCATAGCAGGAGCATAATGGACCAGGCAAGAGAATAATAAGAATAATGAACAGCCATATACCAGAGACATTTTGTGGGGGTGGAGTGGGGGGGATAGGGAGGGAAGTGCACGGGACTATGGTGATGGCACATGGGTGACTCAGTGATGGGAAACCCATGGGGATTACAATTGAGATGAAAAAAAATATAAACTATTATATCATTAAAAAAAAGTAAGGCTAGCATATATCAATAAAGGTAATTAAACTGTATATAGGCAAATTCCAAAGAGAAACAAAACTACTAAAAAGCTATTTTCTCATCTATGAACTGTAGGAGTGTGAGGAGGACTGGACTGGATAATCTTTAAATTTCCTTCCATCGCTTACAGCCTACGAGTCTAGGTAAATTCGTAGACTTGACCAGAAAGAAAAGGAAAAAATACCGGATGGTTTCACTCATAGCAGGAGTATAACGGACCAGGAGAGAAAATAATAATAATAATGAACAGTTATATACCAGAGACATTTTACAGGAGCGGAGTGAGGAATGGGATCAAAAACAGTGGGGGGGAGGGAAATGCACTGGACTATGGTGATGGCACATTGGTGATTTGGTGATGGGAAGCCCAAGGGGATTACAATTGAGATGGAAAAATGCACAAAATGATGTAAAAATAAACTATTATATTATTTTAAAAAAAAAGTAGTAGGCTTGAAATATTCTCTTAGCAATATATGAAAACTAATTTCCTGAAATGCAGTGTACTGACCTCCCACAGCATGTAAAATAACTTCGGGGGCACAAGTATCCCACTTCTTACATCCAGGACTTGCGAATACATAAGCAGATGCTTTGCCTTCGATCAACTGAATAATCTGCAAGATAAAGATAACTGTCTCTTGATCATGAGATGATCAGAAATACAAATAAGAGAAAGTGCTATTTCCATCAAGTAGTTTTCATCAGTTCCTTTGCCAGATTCAACTTAGGTTAAAACATTTTTTTGCTGTTTTAAATACCCGAGTGTTGAAATACAAGACTAGTGGTGTGAGGGGAAGAGTAATCAGATAAGCTCAAGTATTCACAGTTAGAGAAAGTTTTCTGTTTTTAATGTTTTGTTTTTTCTTAATTTAGTAGAGGAAATTTAATTTTCAATCTCATGGGGAAAAAAACACATCAGTATTACATAAAGGATAGAGAAGTATCAACCAACCCACTAATAAACTAGGAAGTGTGAAGAGGAATGATCTGGGGCATGGGCAGGAGGATGAGCTCAAATGGGGAATGAGGAATTTGAGATACCTACAGGAGTCATCAGGGTGACACTCAGGTATCGTCAATCCCATGAGATGAGGCTAGGGGTGTAGATGATAATGTGTCTGCTTCACAGTTTCCTCAGGAGATAGAAGTCTAGATGAAAGAATGAGAGAAGCATCCAGTAGAGGGCTGGCTGGCCCCTTTTTAGAGTGGGTGGGACAAAGGTATAGGTAGTAATCCAAGAGGTCCCTGAGAAAATAAGGGCTGGCAAGAGATGCAGGGTCTGATCAGAAAGACTTAACCACTGAACTCTCTTAGACTGAAAAAAACTTGAAGCATCAAATCTTTGTAAAATCTGAATGTTGCTGAAAGGTGCTTTTTCATGGTAAAATTACAAACTTTAACCTCTTCTAAAACTTATTTCACATTGTTTTAAAGCCCTGTGATTCAGTGGCATTTCAGAGTGGATGACAGACATCTTTCATACCTTATTTCCTGCTCCACCCACACGCAGCACACTGTCAGGGTTCATGGCAGTAACACAATCCGTAACCAACTTGTTGCTATGGGAACGGGTCGTTGTGACGATGTGCTTCCCTGCAGGTACTTCTTTCAGCTGAAACCCAAAGGCACCTAAACCTAAAACTCCCCAGATTGTCCGCCCCAACACAGCATCTGGTCCTGCCTGTGTGAACAAGTGAAACAACAGCAAAGCTCAAAATCATTTGGAGAAAAATGTTAGCTACTTAAAAACAGAATATGTAGCTACATACACCTTATGATAGTTAAAAAATAAAAATATGCTAATGTCATGAAGTGCAAGAACAGTGTCACTGACAAAGCCATTTTCCCAGGAGAATGAACTGGTTATTCTCATTTTGCTTCATCATTGGGTTTCCAAGGTTCTGATGGGAACTTTAGGGCTTTTCCTCTCTGAATCATCCAACCATTTCATTATTATATCTAAAAAAGTTGTTTTTTTTTTATAAAAGGCACTGCAATCTCAGGAACTGGAACATCACACGCCATTTCTCTTTACCTACGGAACACAAAGGACTGCCATAGTGGAAAAAGGTGGCAGTGATTATGTATTTTGCTGCTATCTATACTGTAATTCAACAGGCTGATACTGAGAAGTAGCCATGGATAAGGTGGCAGTAGCTAAAGATTTTACTGAGAATTGTAGTGGTAAAGTGACAATGAGGAAGCAAACTTAGGGTCTCTACTTTGCAGAGCTCAACAAATTTTCAACTATATTATTGTAGCTATATTATTGTAAGCATAACCTGCATTTCATGGAAAATAAAACTTATGCATAAAACAAAGTAAAACTGATGCATAAAACAATTAAAGTCCTCAAAACACCATAACATTAAGATGCTAAGCAGATACTATACACACAGTCATATACTTCATGAATACTAAGCATGTACCACACATGGGACTAAGTATCTGTATGTATTATCTCATCGCTCCAACAACCCCATGAAGTGGGTCTGATCCTCCTTGTTTTACAGTTGAGAAAAGTGAGCTCTGGAACCAGTGAATAACCTGACCAAAGAGTTCTAGCAGCCTCAAAATCAAACTTCTCTGTGCAGGCCAATATCCCTACTGCCTCAGGATGCTTTCAGAGGCTTCTAAACAGAGCTTTGAGGGCCCTACAGCAGTGCCCTGCGTGCTATAAGAATGACATATGCTGATTTGTCAGGTTGGATTCCCTGGGAAAAATTAAGCTGTGATGCAACACAAGAACAGATTCAGTTTACTCAATGAGCCTGCTGGTGCTCAAAGGGTCCTTCCAGGTGGTGCTAAAGTGGGATGAAATGCTGGCTTTATTCCCATACAATAACCCATCAGTGGAAATGTAGACCTTCGGGGAGGGCATGTCACTGGGCAGGGCCACTCTTCAGAGGTGAGGCAAGCCCTAAGCCACCAGCAGGTGCTGGTTGTCTGCCCTTAGCACTCCCTGCCAACGGGCCACAGAGGAGGCAGCGAACATACACAAGGTGCTCAGTGCGTAAGCACGTGCTTCCTGGGTTCCCACAGGTTGACATCACAGGAGAAGAGAGGCTGAAATCTGAAGAGGACAGATGGGCTCAAACCGCTCATAAGGGTTGATCACTGGGATGGTTCATGAGCTGAAGAAACCTACCATGTTTATTAATTCAGCTTTTCAGTCATTCTGAAAATGAAAGGAGAGCATACGAAAGTGTAATTGAAGATTCTGGTCTCTAAAACTTCATATCCCCCTGGAAATGAGTAAGTAGCAACGAGGATGAGACAAAGTACTACCGAGGTGGAGTTAATGCCATCGCACAAGATGGTCCGCCGGCCTCCTTCTGTGCCTTGACCACTGTCTCTCACTGACTCTCCTTCTCACTGACTCTCCTTCAAAAGCTCCACACCAACTCTGAGCAGGGGGATGAGTGGAGAAAAGCCTAATCTTTTCATCTCAGTGGTGGGCTCATTAAGATTCACAATGTTCACTATTCAAGCTCTGAAATAAAGATGCACTGGTGGTTTTGGGGGTTGGCACTAAATTGTGTTCTGTTAGGTGTCTACCAGTTCCAGTATTTGTTGAAACAGTTATAAAGTCTAAATTAAGTCCTTAATCTGACTCAAGAGAGCAATACAGGGCAAAGGGTAAAAGCTTGGATGGGGCTGCCTGCCAGGTCAGCTACTAACCACCTGAGTGGCTGAGCCCAAGTCCCTTGCCTCAGTTTACTCTTCTTTAAAACAGGGACAAAGATGCCTTTGAAGGACCGAGTGTGTGTTAAATGAGATAATACCTTGAGTCTGGCAGCAGAGTAAGGCCTGGATACATTGCATTGTGGTTATGATGGTTACGATTCAAAATGGAAGACTCAAATGCTTACCTAGTAGCCGGAATGAAATAGAGGGCAAAAAGGCAAGAGAGAAGGGAGATAACCAGGGTACGAAAGGAATAGTGAAATAGTGGTGAAAGGAGGGGACTAAGGAGAGAACAGACGGGAGAAAATGAGCTGTGCGTGCAAAGGACATGACAAGTCTGGTGCCATGGCTGGCCTGCCCCTCTCCTACTGCAGTGGAGCCAAACTCTAGCTATGTTTCTCACCTTTGTTTCATTCTTGGGTTCCCTTAACTTCTCCTTTTCATTGTTCTGTGGAAAATGAATACAATTTTTCTAATCTGAGAAAGAAGGATGCAAATTATTAACAACTCCTAAGCACTTATCTCTTTTGAGGAAAATGCCATGCATTACAAAGTTATCTATGTATCAGTACCTTTCTTTTAAATACTATATTCAAATATCAACTTAAAGTTATATAATGAGCACAAATCTGTTCCTGCATATAAAACTGTAAGACATCAGCGGCATATTAAAAGAACTAATGTTCACTCAAATGGTTCAATAAGGCATTCCCAGTAATGCAGAACTATTTTTGTTAAATAACCCTAAAAAGCATATGATTGTAAATAAAACCTTCTTTAGAAATGTCAGGGGAAATAAAAAAAAACATTTATCTTAGCAGAAGATATTAATCCTGCTCTTAATTCAATGTGGAAATTCAGAAGTTTTAGTCCCCATTTTGTTTCTTTAAAATTTATCAAAGCAGACTATGTCAATACCTTAAAAGTTTTATCTTGACCTTTAAAATATATTGTGATTGTGATTTCATGGTACACTCCTGCTTTGGAACTGCATTAGTCTGAGGTTTCTTGGGAAGATAATTTCTTGGAAGTATAACAGAAAGTCAAAGCAGATAAGAGAAGAAAGTAAAAGGAAGAGAGCAAGAGCACATTCAGTCCTGTTATCAGCGCCAACTAGACTACCAGCATCTTTGTCTTGGAAGAAACAGTTTGTTTCATCAGTATGCTTCAAGACCACCTATAAAACAGGTGTCTTGGGTAATTCCCAAACTTTTGCATTCGAATCACGTGGAATGCATAAAAATATATTTAATCTACACAGTGCACACATATATACATGCATGTACATTCCTCAAGACAATGAGCTCAAAGGTTCTATAAGTTTGGGGCATGACCTGGAATCTGCATTCATAAAAGCTCTCCAGTTGACGGCATGTGCAACCAAGCTAGCTGCCACTGGATTAGACATACCAGGAGCATAGAACACACTATAATCAGTTATCTCACAGGATCTTTTTGTATTGCTCAGTCATACCTGGTAGTTGTAATATGGCTGGTTAATAACTCCTGCTATGGCTTTTCCTTCATAAGCAATTCCAATAAGAACGGTTACATTATCAAGAAGACCTATGAAGAAGAAATAAGTATCCAGATATTCTAATGTCATGATACATCTTTAGCACACTCACTGCTCCAGGTTATTTTTTCAGAAAGGTAAGGAATTTGCAGGGTTTCCCTCAGGATCCATCTTACTTATGGAAAAATGCACAAATGCTAGGAGAGCTGACCAGAGATTGTAGGGTCCATGCCACCTACGGAATGGGTAACTATTTTCTCATTAATACAATTTGTAAACTAAACAAGTGGTACTGAAACCTCTGTGCCTACTCTGCTCCCACCCTCCTCACTCCTGCCTGCTGGGTAGCTCTTTTCGAGGACCTTTCTCTGCACTCACATTCCAGACCTCCAAAACAAGGTGTCTCAAAGTGAGGGGCGTGGACTAGAAAAAGCATTAGAATTAACCCACAAGATTTTTACAATACAGATTCTCTGCCTTCTACATAGATACTGGCACTGTCTATAGCATCTCTGTTTCCCAATGGAATAGAGAGACATTTTCAGTGTGTACACATGACCCACTCATTATAGATCTGTCTCATCCAAGGACAGAAAAAGAGACTTTTCTAGTCATTGAGAATATTTTTTAAGCCATGAAGCTAAGAGCCAAAAAAAGAAACCCACATAGATCTATCTTCTTTTAAAAAATAAACTCTAAACTTATGCTATGTTGCAAAAACTGTGGTGCTCAGTTTGCTACTTCTTACTTTCCTGTTAAAGCTATTTTACTGTAATTTGCTGCTTTCTAATTTTTCTCATTTTAAATAATTTCAGAGAGGAAGAACTCTGTACTGTATTTCAAAACCCACATTTAAAGGGAGGCTGTGGGCCTCCCTGGTAGTGCAAGGGGTTAAAGCACAGCACCATGAAGCTATCCACAGCCACTGCAGCATGAGTTCAATCCCCAGCCAGGGAGTGAGCCACATGATGCAGCAGACCTCTCCTGACCTGCCCACTGCTCCCCTCAGCAGTGTACTTTGTCAGTCGGCCTGTTCTGCTCCCCACTGTGTCTCTGGTGAATATGCTCACTCACTCTACCTCTGGCCTATATCCTAGTTCTTATATAGAAAACTAAGTAAACTTTTAAAGCAAAATAAAAAAAAATCAAGGGAGGCTGTGATGTGAGAAAGTGGTTTGGAGTAAGAAGAAAGTGGGATGGGCATGGGATGCAGAGGTGGCTTAGAAGGGCGGTATATCTGCTCTTCATTGTCTTTCTATTAACACAAAGCTGGGAGTTCACTATTGTTTAAACTTTGCTTTAGCATATTAGTTAGCCTATCTGGAGGACATTAAGATTGTGGGGCTGGTAGAGAATGTGTGTTGATGACAATTACTGCGCTCTATCAAGAATGAGCGCAAATACAGCTTCAGGACAGATGCAGAAAATATGGACACTAGCTTCGCACACAACATACAAAATGTCAAATGTTTACAAGTGAACATCATATACTAGTCCATCTGTCATGTTAAAAGAAAAAAAAGATACCAACCTTCAGTGTATTCCTTGGTACCATCTAGAGGATCAACCCAGACCACAAGCTAAAAAACAAACAAACAAAAAAAAGGAAATATCCAAATTAAAGGAAGACGTGGCATATATAATACACAATGGAATATTACTCAGCTACAAAAAAAGGCTCCCTGTGGGCACCACATGGATGGAAATGGACAAGATGAAGCCAAGCAAAATAAATCAAAGAGAAAAATAAGTATCAGATGGGTTCACTTATATGTGGAATCTAGAGCAACAAGACAGAAGATAAAACAGAACCAAACCAGTAACAAATCCTACAAATCTGGGTGAGAGGGGGAGGGGAAGGGAAGAGAGCAGGGCACAATGACTGTGGTGAGACAGTGGTGCCTTGCTGAAGGTGTGGTGCGGTGACACATCTCTGAACTGGGGCGTGTGATCCTACACTTCTGTACATACAGTGTTAAACTCCACTGTTACCTAAATACAATTAAAATTAAAAAAAAAAAGCGTAACTCTCCCATCCCAATTTTGGAAACTAAAGGCATATCTGAAGATGGTTATCTGAAGCCAGAGATTTAATGTAAGCAACTATAATAAAGTACCCAAAGGGATTTTTATGACCTATGAAAAATATAAGGTAGGGATATGCTTTGCCTCTTCCTAGCCCCAATTACTGATCAAATAGTTTACTACCAACTAAGTTAGATTTCCTCCATAAAAACACATTTATAATAGCTGCAGAGTGGAGAGGAAACTAGCAGAATGAGAATATCAGATAGTCATGTGTTTGCCTGATATATCTATGCGGCCCTCAAAGATTTCAAGTTCTTTATTGTTGCAATTTATTGCCTTTACTGTGACCAAGAAGCAAACACTATTGCCTTTACTGTGACAAAAAATGAAGACTAGAGTTCAGTAATACTAAGGATCATACGTCTTCCTCTTTGATGGCACTGTATTGTGCTGGACATGGCTGCTTCAGAATCTCCTCCCACTGGCCATCTTCAATCAGCTCCTGATCGACTTCTTCTGAGGGCAGATCCTAAAGCAGGAACATGGGGTATTACAAAAGGTTTCTGCTCACTATGATTTGTCTCACTATTGAAGAAGCACAGCATCAGAGTTTGCCCTAGTTCTTCCTATTTACCATTTAAGTCCAGAGCTTTTAAAGAAAACCAAAGAAGGACACTCCTTGGTGGTGCAAAGGATTAAAGTGTAGCACTATAAACTTGGCTGTGGCTATTTCAGCACAAGTTTGATCCCCACCCTGGAGGTGACCCATATGGCACAGCAGACCACTCTTGTCTCACCTGCTTTTCCCCTCAGCAGTGTACTTCATCAATCTGCCAGTTTGGCTCCCCACTCTGTCTCTGGTGAATCCTCTCACTAACCCCTGCACCTCTGACCTATACCCCGTTCTGTATGTATAAATAAATAAATCTTTAAAAAAAGAAAATTGCAAAAGTGACCATATGTGGCTCATCAAAGTTGACTGCAGAGGGTCACAACTCCATTATCCTAAATAAAGTTTAAAATTAAAAGAATGTATAAGTGTAAAAACTTATTGAAACAAGGGGCTTTGGCATTAGATACTTATAGTCTCTCTGTTGTATGAGATGACAATTCTTTCACTGTCACCATGTTAGAATCTTTGGGAAAGCATGTAAGCAAGCATACAAAACCTGAAAGCAGAAAATCCATCTCATTTTAAAGTTATAGAACTCTGTTATGTTACAGTGTGAATGCTGATTATCATAACAGGAGTTATATCATTTATGGTCAAGAATTGATACATCAACCTAGAAATGGGCTGACATATTTAAAAATGAAATATTTCCTGCAAGTCCAAGGAATACATTAATGGTTTTTGTGCTAAAAACACTACATTTGGCCCCCCCTAGTGGCACAGCGGGTTAAAACACTGCACTATGAAGCTAAAGCCACTTCCGCATGAGTTCGATCCCTGCCTGCCCCAGAGGTGGCCAAATGGCGTGGCAGACCTCTCCTGACCGCCCGCTGCTCCCCTCAGCAGTGTACTTCATAGATCTGCCTGTTCTGCTCCCCACTCTGTCTCTGGTGAAGCCTCTCACCGCCCCTGAGCCTCTGGCCTGTACCCCAGTTCTGTATGTACAAATAAAATAAAATCTTAAAAAAAAAAACAAAAAAACACTACATCTAATGCTTGAGATCACAATAGTGGCATATAAATAACTAAAGTAGTAATTATCAGAGTAAGCAGGGATTAAAGCAGAACTATATCCCTGAGACATCTTACCTCTTCCCCGATGATTGTTAGTTTGGGGAATTTTCTTGCCAGGGAAGAACATATACTCATTTGCACCAGCCTGTCAGCTTTGGTCTGCAGGTCTGTCGCACTAGTCTGCAACAAAGAATGTGAATTTTAGAATTACTATGAAATATGTTGTCTTCTGATTCCTCAAGAGCTTGTTTCATTTAAGTTATATCATCTGTTTTGAGATTCATGGAACTTACCACACCAAACAAGTCATAACCAGCTTCTTGATATGGCTTTTCTCGTGTAACTGACAGTGGCTAAAGTTTGGAAAGGCACTTTTAAATTATAGTAGTATATTTTCTCCCAAATTCATAAATTGATTTCATAAGTAACTTATCTAATCTCCTGCTTAAACAGGTCAAAACACAAGAAATTCATAACTTTCAAGGCAGTCAAAGGTAAAAACAGTATCTCCAGTTATCACAAAGGTATCCTGTATATGGATTCTTCAGTAACTTTTACACACTAATCACAATCCTAATAATTCAAGAGGCTCCAAGGACAATTCTTTCATAGAGAAAGAATTCCAATTTCTAAAATCAAAAAATGAAATGAAATGAATGGCAGAATATTTAGCTATGCGGCTCACCTATGACCAACCCCTTCCCCCATTCTACATATCAGAAGGTCACGCTCCAAAAACACAATAGAAAACTTTGGGATTGAGCCACAACCTCCTTTCTTTCAGAGAATTATGCCATGTTGTAATTTGGCAAGGTGGATTTACAGGTTATATTAAGCAATAGAATTTTTACATACTCTGCAAAGAATTTTTATGATACTCTGTAAAGGAATGATCATGAAAAGCTAACCATTTAATGCCACATTAAAATTTGCTGGTCATCTCGGTGCAAAGTACTATATTGTTAGACTGCAGAGCCACAAATACAGTGTGCCTGGCACACAGTAGTTGCTTTATTAATATCTGTACAGTGAAACTACTTACAGGCTTTGTTAAATATGAAAATTTCTTACAACTCAAGCAAATTTAGAGACTATTGCTCTAGAAAAAAACAGACAATAATACAGTCACTTGACTATATTAAGGAAGCCATGACAACCTTTTTCTTCTCTAAAATAAATACTTCATGTCATTTCTACTGACAAAGTACCAGACCTCACCATTCTGAGTCCTTGGTATGACAAATCTGATTTTGTTATCTTTTTAAATCAGATGTCAACATGTGATTCAAATTATGAACACTGTCTGACCAGCAGGGAGGGCAGTAAACATATCACTTTCTAACTTTAAAATCTTTTTGTTTTTCCAAATCTTTTTTTATTTATGCACACAAGAACTGGGGTATAGGCCAGAGGTGCAGGGGCGGGTAAGAAGATTCACCAGAGATAGAGCAGGGAGCAGAAAAGGCAGACTGACTGAAATATACTGCTGAAGGGAGCAGTGGCAGGACAGGAGAGGTCTGCTGTGCTATATGTGCTGACCCAGGATCGAACTGGTGCTTCAGTGGCTGTGGATCGCATCATAGTGCTGTGCTCTAACCTGCTGTGCCATCAGGGAGGGCCTGAACAGTGTATTTCTATCACTCCTTAGCTATCAGCTAAAGTGGCACTACTACTATCATCACAAGATAAAATCAATTTAAACAAAATAAGTGATGGTAGAAAAAAAACTAGAAAGAAACAATCCACAATATTGTCAGTGGTAGTATGATGGATGACTGCTGTACTTTTTCTAATTTTTTCCATTCCCATTTTAAGAAAAAATGATTAAAAAAGACAGTAACATCAGTAGCCTTGTGAAAGGAGCTGTTTTACATTGTGGGTGTCTTTGACCATGGATGTGGTCAACTAAAACCTTTTCCAGGGCCTCCATGGTAGCACAAAGGGTTAAGTTGCAGCACTATGAAGCAATCTGCACCCACTGCAACACCAGTTCCATCTCTGGCCAGGAAAGTGACCTACATGGTGCAGCAGACCTCTGCCTGTTCTGCTCCTGAATCCTCTCTTTCCCTACATCACTGGCCTGCACCCCAGCTCTTATATGAATAGATAACTATAACAGCCACCAAAAGAAGCCTTTTTCCAATAACTTTGAAATAGTTTTACTCCTTATTACATGAACATGAATACAAGATTTTATAATCATTCCTGGATAATATCCTGTTGGATTTAGCTAACTTTCCTCAAAGTTTGCAAATATTTTGAATACATGCTTAGTGATCCAATACATTACTGGCCTTCCTAGCTTCATTTCATTAACAACTTTATCAATACCCTCTGTATCCCCATCTTTTACAACAGTTTTGAAAATATATATTTTAAACCTATTTAAGTTAATGCTTAAAGAGAAAGGACAGTTCTGTAGTGATTGACCAAGAATGTTTTGGGGTTGAAAGTTTGTTACAATTTTGATTAAATTTTGATTTGCCCCGTACACTTAAGTTATGAAAATACCTAATGGTTCAGGATGTCATCTGTAGTCTTAAGAATTACTTCAATCTTTCTTTGAAAAGAAAGAGGCTACCACAATTTTTTTCTTAAGACAGCATATGTCTATTTCCTATACTACTAGCTTAATAGTTCCATCTGAAAATGAAATGAGACTACTTCTATTTGTTGTTATGATTTCTACTCTTAATTTTTAAAAGTATTCACATTGAATATCCTGTAACTGGCTCACAGAAAGTTGCTTCTAAGTTGATTTTTACTCATATATACGGTCCTTATTTTTTGTAGATGCCTGAGTTATAAAGAAGTGACTTCACTATATGTCTTAAATCAATTAAGGGTTAACCATTAATCATATCCTGTAATTTTCCCAGTAGGTCAAAATTATAGTACAATCGTCCATAAGGAATCTGAGAAAAAGTCAACTATGGAAATTTGCTTTTAAAACTTCTAGTATGAAATATAGCTAAATCTTGTGAGGCAAATGATATTTTAAACTAGAGTACATGCATACTGGGATCTTTCTAAAGGTTGAGGCTACAGATCAAACTGCCTTCTACACTAAACAGAAAGAAAAAAAAAGTCTGTGGAAAAGGTAAAAGACTGTGTTTTCTGCCCCTCATGTCTCATGTAATTCTTTTAAGAATTATATATCCCTATAAATTATGTTTCTGACAACTTTCCCATATTTTTAATTAACATTTCATAATGTTAAACTTTGTTGGGGTTTCTTTAACATAAAGAAAACAATTAAAACCTTGAAGGCCTCCCTAGAGCTGCAGGGGTCTAAATAAAATCTCAGCTCTAACAAGCAATTCCCAGCCAGGAAGCTGACCCACATGGCAAGCAGACCTCTCCTGTGTTAGTCCCTGCTACCTTTAGTAGTGTATTTCAGTAGCTCTACCTGTTCAGTTCTCAACTCTGTCTCTAGTGAATCCTCTAAACCCCATACCTCTGGCTTATACCCTAGTTCTTGTATGTATAAACAAATAAAAATAAATTTATATTAAAAAACTAAAACCCTGTATATATGGGGTTCCTATTGGATTTTTACAGAACATATCAGGTTTACTAAGGATTGCAAGATTTTGCATATGATAGATTTGAGGATTTGAAGCTCAGTTACAATGCTTTGTGGCTGGACACAGTCTGAAGGCCCAGACATGTAAGTTCAGTTATACACCACTGGCTTTGGCTATAAGAAGTCTGGAGTCATTTTCCGAATAGAAACAGGGCTTATGTGAATTAGGGGTCTTGTAATATCTGTAAGGGAGTCACTGATCATTTCGTACTAAAGTCTGCAAAGGTTATTACAGCAGTCAGCTAAATCTCAAGGAACAAAGATAAAGTTGGTATGAAATGAGATGAGACTTTCAGTACCTTCTCCACGATACCCAGGTCTCCTTCAGCAATAACACGTCTCACTATCACACCTGCCTTTTGAGCAACAGAGTATGCTGAGGCTACCAACCGCATCAGTACAGTGTGACCGGATGCCATGATGAGCCCTGGGGGGGGGGGGGGTGGACAGAGAGATGCTGTTAGCTTCAAAGTCAACAACAGCTTTCATTAACTTCAATTCCCTTCAACACATCTATATTCAGCACTTACCTGGGTCTGTACAAATCAACTGTAAATTATTTATTTCTAAAAGAAAACTGGAAAAAAACACTTCAGTATTAGCTTTCTCAGTAAATTCCACTGTGCTCTTTTTCTCCACAGAGGAGTCACATTTTAAGCTTAGGGGAGATCAGCCAGGCTGCTGAGCTGTTTCGTGTGTGCGGTGTGCAACGTGCAAGGGATTGGGAGGTGCTTCAGGGTCTTAAATATCTGCCTTTGAGGAGATGCCTATTTTGGTGTCCTGAAGGAGGAATACTGCCTATAACATGTCAAACATAAAACTGGTAAGTGCCAAGAGAAAAACGAACTGCATCAGGAATATGAGTGCGTGTGTAGATGAATGAAAAAGGAGAGGGACTGCATGGGATTAAAATTCATTTCAGTAAATCAATGAATATCCCTTTAGAGTAAGTCAATTAACTAATTGGAGAGATGATAACTCATCTGTAAATGTGATGATTGTTAAGACAATTCCCTGGTGCCAACGAGAAACACAGAAAAAAAAACAGCCAGCCTTTAGGATGAAGTGTATTGCTCTTTGAAAATATAAATGCACACCCTGCACTTCCAGTGACTATTCAGATGCTGGAAAGTACCACCTAAACTCCCTCCAAGATTGAAAGACTTAGTTCCTGGCTCCCAACAGTATAGCTAACAGATAGCCGTTAGCCACCATCTTTCTTTGAGAATGTTTCTGCTGAGAAGAGTCACTTCATCTGAACCTGGTCAACAGCAGGGGTCAAAGGTCACTGCCCCCTCTAACTCAGTGCTGGTGCTGGTGCTGCTGCTGCTCTGATGGGACATCCCTGCTTCTGGACACCTAGGGGGTCAACTGAGGCCTTCCGATGCACATGGCATCATGGCTCAACTTCCCCCCCATTCTCCACATTCCTACTCCCCCCACCCCCTTCCAACTGTGGGACACTTTCTCTCTGAGCCTTTGAGTGTTTACCAGAAAGCAACCTATGACAGAAATCTCCCACTACTAATCAAATCAACATTATTTCAATGCAATAAGAGAATAGGATACAGAACATGAAGGACACTGGAAACCTTGGATCAACAGTTCTCATTCTCCCATCAGTTTCTGATGCATCTTAATCTTTCTTTTTTCTATCATCTATATTCTAGTCACAGAATTATGAACAGAATTGAGACAATCAACACATTTGAACCTCATCAGAAGAGAATTATAATTGGTAAGGTTATGACTATGGTGTCCAGAATGAAGATGAAAATAAAAGAGGTTTGTCTGTATAATTGAATTCAGTTTACTTACTACATCAACATTTCATTATGTTAACGTTCCTGGCATATTAAGTGTTACAGTGGAATAAGATTATAATGATTCATTATACTAATTACAGCATCTCAAAGAGAGAAGTATTTTAATCTATGCTTTGTTGGCCTTATCTCTACTTCCTTCTATCCATGACCAAGCAAATATCAGGTTTATTCTGCAGTAGAAAAGGCCGTGTCAGACAATTAATGGCACCAATCAGACATCTTAACATGTGTTAGAATGGGCTGATATGCTCCTACAATCCTCATGCGCTATAAGACTCCATTTGTGAAATTCCCTCTCTGATTTTTTTTTTTTTAAAGATCTATTTATGCATAGAACTGGTGTACAGGCGAGAGGCAGGAGGTGAGAGAATTCACCAGAGACAGAATGGGGAGCAGAACAGGCAGACTGACTGAAACACGTTGCTGAGGGGAATAGCTGGGAGCAGTGGTAGCAGGAGAGATCTGACATGCCATGTGGGTCAGCTCCCTGGCTGAGGATTGAACTTGTGCTGCACTGGCTGCGGACAGCTTCACAGTGCTGCGTGCTACGCTTTAACTGGTTCCACTACCAGGGAGGGCCCCTGTATGGTTTTGTTCTAGCTTTTCACAGGTATTATTTACCTTTGAGCCAGTTAAGCAATCATTCCAACCTTGTCAGGACTTACGGAACTCAACCACTTCCTTCTGTGTGTGCCAAGTTGCCAGTACTTTCTTCCAAACTTTCAGGCTTTGTCTTTCTACTACATTCCTCACAAAAAGTATAGCTATATTTATCAACCACCATTTAAAAGGTTAACCATTTTCTAAGAATGTAAAAAGGTAGATTTGGTGGAAAATACAATAATAAAACAGTAATAAAGAAACCCAGAAAATTCTTTTTATTAATAGTTGGCAAGTGGGAAAATATTTCCACCATTTTCTCAGATGTCTGTCCTTGACCCAAAATGAAACAGTTTAGGTCTGGGAAGAATAGAAAGAGACAAATTAATGGAATCAAATAAATTGTAGCAATAGATCAAAAATACAAACCATGGTATTTCAGATCATGGGAGTAAATATGTGTGTCTAAATGGGAGAGAAACTGTCAACATATATGTGTGTGTGTGTATATGTGTGTGTGTGTGTATCTATATATATATACACATTCCAGTTTAGTGCCTGACTTTAAAGAATCAAACAATACAAATATGGGAATAAAGCATAAAAGCATATTTAAAATGGTAAACGAATTTTAAACATGATTTTAAAAAAACTTAAAAACCCTTAAGAGAATAAATTGATAAACTTGACTGCACAAAAATGAAAACGTCTATATAGTCAAAATATCATAAGCAAGGTAAACAGAAATGTTTATAACTACACAAAGCAGCTCATTTGTTACGTAAAAGAGCTTGTATGTATCACTAGCTAAAAGATGGATAATCCCGTAGAAAATGAACAGTTGGCATGTACAGGCAAGCCGTAGAAAAAGGAAAGCTATGGCTTACTAAATACAGGAAATACTCGACTTCATGGGTTATTTGTGAGAGTGGCACAGGTAAGATAAAGGTTGCTCAGTGTTGGCACGAGCAAGGGAAAGAGTTCCTTTCCCCTTAACAAAAGTAAAGCAGGAGGTCTGAAAACGAACAACAAGCAAGATGCCTTACTAATCAAAGTAGCAACTACATTTTCAGGGAAACCGAATTTGTAAATCAAGCAAGCAAGCCTACAATATACAGGAAAGCCAGTAGGAAGAGTATCTGACATGTTAACGAAATTTATTTTTAGATTATAAGATGGTCGAAATCTTGGGGTAACAGACCTAACGTCTAGGTTTGCCTCGTTGTTCCCACAATACCTTGCCTTCCAATGATCCCTTGGCATGAGAATAAAAGCACACACAAGCCATTAAAATGCCTACACTCAAGAACCCAGGTCCGAAAGAGGCAATCGGCTCCACCTAAACTTTCGTTTTTTACCTAAATCCCTTGAAACGCCTCAAATCTATGCAAAGGGGTGGAGTCAGGGGGGGGGATCTGCCTCAGGCCCCGTGACTGACCCGCGAGAAAGAAACTTACTTACGGCGTCCAGCCTGGGCAGTTAGTGGAGTCAGAGCACAAAAACGCGTTCTGGCACTCGCGTCCCTCACAGCGCTCTCTCCCGGTGGTCAACTGGGCGCGCCAGGCAGAGTGCGGATCTTGCCTCTGCCACCGAGCTGCGGGCCAAAAGCGCATGCGCAGAACGGCTACTTCCCATGGCCCCTGCTGGTTCCCGATCCCCTCCGAACGCCACTTCTCCTGGTTTTCGCCAAGCCCTCGGGCGCCAACTGCCTGCCGCTATCAAAGCAAAAAGTGTGTGGGTTTTAGAAGACTCTGCCCTCCCGGGTGTTCTGGTCGGATCATATTTACAGCGCGCGTGGGGTTTTTTGGGCGAGTGCTTAACCTAGCAGCCCTGGGAATCCCTGGACAGCCTCCAGGATGTCCATGCCTCCACTCCGTCCCCCCAACCACAAAACAAATTTTTGCACTGTTAGTAATTATTATATTCACGTTTAAAGCATTCTTCAGAATCTTTAACGGATCTGTAGCTCTTTGCTTTTCCCTTTCCACAAGCTTCCCTCTTTTCCTGGCCTGGCCTACCGGATGATTTCTTTTTTCTTTTTGAGCTACAAAAGAAAATCTATTTATCACTTATGCTGCACTGCCCAAAGTAAAAGTAAATCAACCCCCAAAATGCCTCGTCATTTAGGCATTCACCACATTTAGGGGGCACACCTTCTGTGCTTGCCTGTGTTTTTTTTTTGTTGGGGGGCATACAGATGTTATGAGGACAGCAGAGGATATAGGTAATGGCTTCTTTTAATACTGAAAAGCAGAACATTGTGATTAGACTATGACAAAGAGATTGAAGTTAATAGCACATACATCAGTTGTAACAGTAAGTGTAGATCGACAAAACTCTTCTGCTTAAACACAAACTCTCCAATTGATTAGATAAACAAATCCAGTGTATCAGATACTCAGGGCCAAAAAAAAAAAAAAAATGAAAGGAAACAATAATTCTGTATTGTTTAAGGTATACTTTATACTGGAAAAGATACCACTTTATTTAATACTACTTTAAGATACCTTATTATTATTATTATTATCATTATAAATCCAAAAGGGTAGGTTTATTATAAAAGGGAGAGAAGAATAAAAGACACTTGCATGGACCTAAGCTAGGGGAAAGTCTGCCCCCTAAAGAGACAGGACTGCTAAAAGAGAGGCCTGCATAGTCACAGGCAGGCAGTCTTGGGAAAAGAGCTGCCCTTCCTCCTTTGCAAAAGGAGGTCAGTGAGGAGAAGCAGTGAATAGTCACAGGTCACAAGCAGGCAGAAGAGCTGCTTTAAGATACCACTTTAAATGTGTAACTCATAGCTCCAGTCTTAGTGAGGTTTGCTTTTGTTGTTGCTTTTTAATGCAAGGAATCTATTCTGTGCAAGCCTTTTCTTAGAAGCTTGGATCCTCACACTGAATGGAGTTGCTTTATCTCTCCTGATAGAGCAGAGCCAAATGCACCCTCCAGGTTTGCAGTTTAGACACTTAGGAAAACTCAATCTGGGTCACAAACATTTTTGTGATATTTCTCCCACTGCTTTCTTTACACATTACCTAATTCCAAAGTATTTTGTTTAGATTTTTTAAACAGTTGCTTTTACTGAGCCCTTAGAGCAATCTGCTTAGCATTCATAAAAGTGTTTGCATTGGCTTTGGGAAAAGTAGTTAGTGAACAATTGTTTCTGTGTCCTCATCTGTAACTCGCAGACATTTATATTTAGAAACAATTATTTCCATTAAAACAAACAAACAAACAACTGGGCCCTCCCTGGTGGCCCAAAGCACTGCGAAGCTAGCTGTAGTGGCTTGGTGCTAGTTCAATCCCTGGTACCTGAGGTGACCCACATGGCTTAGCAGACCTCACCTGTTTTGCTCACTGAGCCCCTCAGCTGTGTACTTCATAGATCTGACTGTTCTGCTCCCCACTCTGATTCTGGTGAATCCTCTCACCAGCCTGCACCTCTGGCCTGTTCCCTAGTTCTGTACACATAAATAATTTTTTTTTAAATCTTAAAAAAAAACAAACACAAAAAACACCTCACCAGAGAGCAATAGCAACAAATGGCTGCTGTTACATGGAAACTTAGTTTGAGAAGACTTTTGCCTGCACGAGTCCTTTTGTCTTTCATACTCTGTGATCTAGTCAAACTACTGCAGTGGAAAACAAAAAGAAACTAACAAAATTTACCAGCTTAATATGCGTTGATTTTTGTACTTAAATGTTTTTCTTTTTGTGGGGAAACAGACCAAATTTAATAAACATCTATAGAAATTATTCTGATAATACACACACACTCACACCAAATTAGTTCTTTATAGAGAACCAGGAATAGTTTATGGAGGAGAGGGTATATACTTTTCAGTGATCTTATCTCATCTTGCCAAGTTGCTAACATATGGAGAATTTTTGAGTCGAACCACCCAGATTTCCTAGCCCAGAAGTAAAATGGAGAGCTCTACAGTACCATTTGGTCACTGCTCCATTTTTCTCCAAGTTTGATTAGCATCTTTATGAACATGTCCCTGAATTATTCTTCTGATGAATTTCTTATTAAGATCTTCTGATTTTCTTTTTTTTTCTTTTTATTTTATTTTATTTATTTTATACCAGTTTATTTTTACATCATTTTGTAAATTTTTTCACCCATCTTAATTGTAATCCCCGCGGGTTTCCCATCACCAAGTCACCCGTGTGCCATCATCATAATTGCACTTAAATTTTATAATCACACTGTGTAACATTCAAAGGTGAGGTTGCAGACTCCTCTCCCAGGACTGCCTTTTGCAGAGGAAAAGGCATGGAAACACCTGAGTGACCTAGAAACCACTGGAGGTCGTTAAAACCCAGTTCAAGAACACAGAAACTTATTGGGGGGAAATAACCACAACTATCAGTTAACTAGACTAGCTGGAGCCTCCCTCAGTGTGCACAAGGACGCTGCTTAGCTTACAAGAGGAGACCCTAACCTCTCTCTATACAGATACCCTCTCAAAGGGTGCCAGGTTCACGGAGCTCCTGGCGGTGGCGCTGCCTGCAATGAAAGTGCAGAAATCCCTGTGGTTCACTATGAATTTTCTAAGGAACTAGCGAAACTACCACTTCAGGTCGCTAACAATTTGGGAGCTAGTCCGGGCTACCCTTCACTGAGTGGAGAACCGCTGCTCTGTTTCAAGCAGCTGCTGGAGCATGTGGGTCTCCTAGGACTGGGGGCCTGCGGCCAGCACCTCCGGGTGCCCGTGGCTCCCATGGTTTCTGCATACAGTTACTGAACCCTGACGGAGAGAGCTGCCTGCTTTCTGGGACACGTTAGTTACCTGGGGCACCAAACCCCTCTTCTGGGCGCTGGTGTGAGCGCTGCAGCCCTCTTGCGACCATGACCCAATGCGTCTGTGTTGTGCGTTCTCCCGCCAAAGTGGGCTCAGGGAGGAGAGTTTGGGGGGAGAGTCTGGCTGTGCTGTATGTTGGGCACTGTTTTCTCGCCTTCAGCTTCCTTAAGGATGAGGATTTTTTTTTAGAGTTTAATACAATTTTACTTGAAATGTGATATCCACATATACACAAACAAAAGTAAAGCTATCATAAGTGCACAGAATAGACTATCACAGAACAAGAATACATCCACAAAGGTGTTAATATTCTAAACCAAATATTTAAACATTTAATAATTTAGCATAGCAATAATAAAGCATTGTATGTCAATATAAGTAATGTTTTTTATATATAATGTTTATTTTTACATCATTTTGTACATTTTTTAATCTCAATTGTAATCCCCATGGGTTTCCTATCACCGAGTCACCCGTGTGCCACCACCATAGTCCCGTTCCCTTCCTCCCTCCCATTTTTGATCCCATTCTCCACTCCACCCCCACAAAATGTCTCTGGTATATGGCTGTTCATTATTCTTATTATTTTCTCGCCTGGTCCATTATACTCCTGCTATGAACAAAACCATCCGGTATTTTTCTTTCTCTTTCTGGCTTATCTCACCGAGCATGATCTTTTCCAGCTCCATGCAAGTTGCTGCAAAAGACATGTGTTTCTTTTTTTTGGTTGCTGAGTAATATTCCATTGAATATATGTACCACAACTTTTTTTTTTTTAAGATTTATTTATTTGTTCATACAGAACTGGGGTACAGGCCAGAGGTTCAGGGGCGGCGAGAGGTTCAGAGACAGAGTGGGGAGCAGAACAGGCAGAACCATGAAGTACACTGCTGAGGGGAGCAGCGGGCGGGTCAGGAGAGGTCTGCCACGCCATGTGGTCACCTCCGGGGCAGGCGGGAATCGAACTCATGTGGAAGTGGCTGTAGCTTCTCAGTACTGTGCTTTAACCCGCTGCGCCACCAGGGAGGCCAGTACCACAACTTTTTAATCCAGTCATCTACTCTTGGGCATTGGGCTGCTTCCATGTTTTTCCAATTGTAAATAAAGCAGCAGTAAACATGGGGGTGCAGGTATCTTTTTGAATCAGTGTTTTTGTGTCTTTTGGGTAGATACCTAGGAGTTTGATTGCTGGGTGGTAGGAAAGCTCCATGTTAAGCAGTTTGAGGAACCTCCAAACAGTTTTTCATAGTGGTTGTAATAGTTTGCATTCCCACCAGCAGTGCAGGAGAGTTCCTTTTTCTCCACAGGGGATGAGGACTTTTAAGTGAGGTGCTAGTGGAAAGCTCTTTCGCATTAGAACTGTGAGCCACTCTGACCAGAACAAATCAGAGTAGAAATTACTGCCCCCACCTCTCCAATTATTCAGTGAGGAGGCCTAAAGGGGATATAGGAACTCGGAACAAATGGTCACACTGGTTTACAGGTAGATACGAATTTGAACGCGCGGACGTGCCGCAGCCCTTCCAGCGGCCACTCAGCAGGTGTGGTGGTCATAAACTGGGCAAGCGCTCCTGGTTGAGGTGTGCTGGTGTGCAACGTACGTGATTCTTAGCACGACGACAAATGCATGAAACGTTATTTGCACTTTTAACTATACGTGGAAGCGATCATGTCTTTGACATTGGGTTAAGTCTATCTTACAAAGCGTCCAGATTGAAAAATTTCGCCGAGCACCGCCTCCTAATTAGGCCCCGCCCTGGAGTAGTCCCCCGCCCCCTACTTCGGCTA